AAAAGTATTTTTTTACAAGAAAGATAATTTATTATAATGGTTTGCTGACTCTAAATAATGTTCATTTTTTTCATAATATTGTTCAACGAAGGCATATAAGACTGAACCATTGTCGTCTTGGAACATACTTCAAGCAAAAGTACACAACTAGAGGCAATTCGATGATGAAGAGATACTCCAGGATCATTTGGAGTCTGTCAACTACACACCTGACCCGTGGATTGACTTGCGCGCATTTAGTAGATTGTAATGCATGGGTTCTGGTATGGCCTTCAGGGAAATCACGACTTTTTTAAATTTGGAAAAGCAAAAGACGTCTTTGTGACGCGAGGGAATGAGGGATTGACAGAGAGGTGATTGGGAGGCCTGGTGATGATGTATAAACCAGAAATTTCCCCCAACGTGATCCCTGGCTCCGAGTCTAATTTGATATAAATCCAGCAGTTACAATCCGATGCCTTCGGATCTGCTTAAAAATAAATGGTCAGTATGTTGTCACGTGTTCAACACATAACACCCCCCAGAAGTTGCCAAAGATGATCGAATAAGATGTTGGCATTATAATTGATGGAATTTGCGGAGTTTGATTCCGTCAGGGTAGGCGTCAGAAAGAAGGCAATGTAAAATTTCAGTTCATTGAAGCAACACTGAAAAACTGCCTCTCCTCGTAGTTATAGGAATAATTGTGTCACAGCTTGCGTGACGTGTTTTCTCACACGATGCATATGCCAGACGGTTGCAGGGACAACTTCAATCACATGTAGGGTTGGTCAACTTGGCCTATACATATCCACCCGCGTCATTGATGCTCTACATCAACTATGGCGACTGGCTTCAAATGCCAAACAATAATACCAATAGAATTGGGACTTTTTTTTCTTTCTTTTTTTCTTTTTAAAGAAGATGACTAGGGCCAACAATAAAAATTGAGTAATGTCAGCAGTGACACGCAGCGAGTTTGTAATTGTGTACAAAATATTTGTACACAAAGGGAAGCAGGTAGTAAGGAAACCCCCCAGGTGGTGTTTGTGAATCAACTCTTGTTTATGGTATTCGAAGAGTCATGTAGTATGTACGCCTGTGAAAAAAAAGTTGTGAAGTTCCCATGCTACCTGGGAGCGGGTGATTGTTGTGGACCGTTTGACGAATACAAGTTGTTTTCAGTAAGCCTCATAGAAAGTGGTCAAATAAAGTGAACAAGTGTCTGAAGTGGAAGGGGCTTGTTTTTGTTTACGTTGCCAAGGCTAGATGAAGTGACACAATTTTAAAAAGGAATTGAAATTGCTACTGCTTGTCAACAGGGAGCAAAATAATATATATATTTTTGGATATAAATAACCATGCACGTAGGCTAATAAGGGTTGTAATTGTCCGTGTTGAATTCACCGTGTGGTAATGAATGCTAATCCATCAGGGCAACCAAACAACGATTATTTCATCATTTTGTTTCATATTCCCCAGTGCATTTGGATAAAATATGGCTGGTACATACGGCACACCGACATCTAGATGCATTAACGTTATGCACACAAAACAAGACAAATGCAATTTGCAAATTAAACAAGGATCTTCCGAGCTGCACAGCGTGTACATGGTTACCTGCCAGATTCCAGCTACGCGGAACTATCAGTATTATTCCTAATGTATTGTACGTTTGGTTGAGTGACAGGGTGATCATTTATCTCGCTCTCTCCTGATCAACCGTAAGTACTAGCATACTAGCCCCTGTCATTGTCTTGCAGGCGATCAGAGTGGAAGAAAGAAAATCGATAGGAACTTGGTCTGTCAGTATTATGGGCAATGTACCGAGGGGCAATTATCAAACGAAGGAAGGAATTGAAAACAGACGTGCCCCTCCACCCCAACAGCATTCTGTCAGCTGTTTGCCAATGGTGCGAATTCCTCTATGAATAATCAACCAATAGTTGTGCATTCACATCGGATTGAAAGAGCAAGACTCGGAAATGATCACAAAGAATCCTGAGATAACACCCAACCCATTGCGACAATTATACCCTACCTGAAGACATCTATCCAAACGCCTCAAAATAAACAAAAACGAACATCAAACTTTTAAATATGACACCATTAACTGAAAGAAACATTTCACATTTCGTTAGGTCAAAAAGACAGTCCACTCCACAAATTATGTACTTCCCTGAAGATTTTTTTTCAAAAGAAAAAAATAACACACGCTTCCTTTAAAAAAAAATAACACGAAAGTAAATGTTTCGATTTTGTTATATTCAAATCAAAACTCTGAACGTCCTTGGTCCCATGTGGCCCCACCCTTCAAGCAAATAGTAGCCTGGATGGATTTCTTGCCGTAATGTTTTCACAAAATTGATCTCTTTGAAAGTTCAGTTTTAACTGATTGGAATGAAAAAAAAGTGTCAATCCAAATAGAAATTGATCCACGTCGATGGGTTGGAGATACAACGAGCTCTCCTCACATACCGGGAAGACAAAATTAAATCAATGCGTTGCACGTGAGCTTCGACCAAATTTTTCAAAAGACATGGTCTTAATTGACATACAGAGGTTTTTTTATGTTACAGTGTAGGCCTACTTAGACAAAAGAATAGTTTGGCTACAGTTGGTTACTGTTTCCAAGAGTGACCCTAAATGCGCGCATCAGTTTAGTTTGTTCGACTACAATTGGTCATCAGGCTAAACAAGTCATATAATGACCAACATGGAGAAAAATGTGGCGGACAGACATCGCTGTTTATATGCAGATGTCGAGATGCGATTCTTAAGGAAATTTATTTTGAATCAACATCTCTAAACACGTGCCTTTTCGCGATTTATTGCATAAAATGACATCAGGTCCCGAGCTTCAGATTATACAAATGAATTCCTTTTCATAATTTGTAGAATTGCAGCGTGAATACAGGAACATATTTGCTTTCCACTTGGCACCAACTAAAGTGCAGTGTAAATTCGGAGTTTATCCATCCCCAAAGGCCCCCCACCCTGCGTCAAGAGAACGCTATCCGAGTCAGAGCCTGCGTGAAAGAGTGGAGTGCCGATTGAATCTGAAGCAACCGTAGCCTTTTATGATGCGGTGTTTTCTCGACACTCACGGCATGTTAAAGTCAACAGGTCCCGTCCCACGCCGCGAGGGGCGGCTGAATAAAGACAGGGGAAAAAATCCGGGCCTAGACAATATGCCCTCGTTTAAATCTTGTCCGACACGTCGCAGAAAATAATTCGAGTTGATTTATGTGGTCGGGCAAGTAATGCAGGTTGGTGTTTGTCATAAATGCCAGCAAAAGACTGTCATTTGATACCATCATGAGAAATATGGGTCCAATCGAAAAAAAAAGAGAAGGGTTGCGCGTTGTTTACGGACTAGCTACATTGGTACAAGTCTCTCACTGTCTCATGGAGGGAAGAGGAGTTTAAAGCCCAGATATTCTAGAGAGGAAGCATCGAATAACTTCGTTTTACTTCTCTTCCACACGGGCTAAAACAACGCCTCGCTGAATAAACGGATGGCAACTTATGCATTCCCTGCAGGGTCGTCAGCCGAGTTTGTAAGCAGCCAGCAACCTCAGATGAAGCACGGTAAAGGCGAAAGCTCTAGAGTCGCGTGTCCAGCGACATATGGCAATCAACACACAGTTGCCAGTAGGGTCCTCTCCCCTCCCCCCTAGCTCAACCAATTATCGGGTGTTATTTTTGTTCGGGCTAATTGCCCCTCTGATTCAATTTAAAGCTCTTTAATAGCCGGCCTGGGGATGTGTTCCGCAAGAGACTTTTAAGATTAATCCACTCACTTCCGGGATTACTTGGGAGTTTTCGCGACCCGGACTGGGGGGGGGGGGGGGGGGGGCAGGAGGAAAAAACATTCAACTTATACTTTGATGAAACAATTTCAATAACAAGTTGGATCGTTGTTTCTCATTCAATTTTGTTTTCACAAAACTTCACGACGATGGGAAGTTGTTTTTAAATGTTTATCATTCGACAAATATTATCTAGACAGTGGCAGCACATGTAGAATAACCTTTTGTAAAATGAAGGCCGAATTAAAATCGGTCGGGTATCTTGTTTTGGCAGAGAATGAATGAAGTCATCTTCCATTAGTGTGATGCGTAATTACGCCCGAGGGCCGAAGCCAATCACGGTATATTAAATTTTGGAGATCAGTACTCCAGGGTTAAATTTACATTGGGATCAAATTCCACACGGTCGCAAATGAAATGAGCACAATTTGCCGTACACTGGGATTCGGATCACCAGACTACCGACCTCATTTGGGATTTTTGTTTTTGAAAGGTATTTAATATAGATAACTTGTGAAAATATACGTGTCGGTTATCTTCCGATGAGCAGACACTCTTTAAATCCGTGGAGAACTATTCAAGAATTACTCTTGTTCGTCAGGGTACCATCACTCTATTATCAGCCAAAAGCTATACAACTGGTGAGGGGAACTGAGTATAATTACTGAACCAACTCAATAGGTTTTCCAGGAGTGTGTAGCATATCGGCTGGGTACTGATTATTGGACCAAGGACAGAGTACCCTCGACGAATACCTAACCTAAATATTCACACGTGTAGGCACGCAACCATGCCCGCACGTATTGTCAAGCTCAATACTCGAAATACAAGCAGATCTGCTTAAATCTGCGGGTCGATATACACGTCAAGGCACTGTTGCAATGCGGAAGCTGACCGATGATGGAAGCCAAGTTATCTACATCTAAAAATACACAAGTAGTACCCAGTTTGTTCCAATGACGTTTTCTTAAAAACAGTTAAATTGCATCGTCATGCACGCCTTTTGCGTGTACAATGTGAAAGGCTGGCTGCAACACGATGTTTATCGATACTTTGTCGCAAGTCTTTTCTTTTCTTTTGCATGTCATTTGTCCGCGGGACGGTTTCGCAAAATTAATGTACAAAAAGAGTATCAAAGGAAACTTGGCTGAAAAGGAACTCATGTTAGGATATAAACATGCATAGCTATATATGGCACATGGTACTTACTTCTGGCAAGTGGTCTAATGTAGTCTTGAAGCCACCTGAATATATTTTGCCTGTCTTCAAGTTCTTCTTCCTTAAAGCTGACCGCCTCTGGTGTTTGAAAACCACTCTCTCTAAGAGCAAAATATGCTGCCCCCGCACCAAAGTGGCAATCCCTGTAATTCGTGTCAGAATCTTCATACAAGAATGCCGTACTGTTCCAATTTTGATAAATAAAGTAGTCCCGTATATACCTCGCCATTTTCGAAAATGGTCCCTGAAGACGAGTTAAGGTTTTATATTGGTACTTATTGTCATATCCGAGGGCCTGTGCCCCGACAGTTAATAAGGGTGTACCCCAGTGGGCTAAAAATTGACCTGTGGGTGATGTGGCGTACTCGCAGACCGGACCGATATACACATCGGCTTGAAATTCGAGTCTGATGTCTACGGTGGAAATCATAGTGAGGGCTACGTCACAGTCCGTGTTGGCGTGAAAAATGGAGACGTTGGAGACCCCAGGCACGATGCGGTCGTACTTCTCCAGGGCGATGTCCAGGGCCGGTGACATCATCTGCTTGAAGTAAGGGTAACGTCTGTCCGTGTACATAAGCGGCCATTCCGGAAGCAACACCGCCATCGTGATAGTAACGTCCCTTTTGGTAGACGGTCGAGGGGCGGCTTCATTTTGGACAGCGACGACCCTCGATCTTGTGACCACGTATGTCAAGAACAGAACAAGCACCTTAGCGGTGATGGCAGGCATTTGGTATTCCGTGGCACCCATTACCTCATTATTGCGTCCTTGAATCCGCCTTAACGGGAAAGCACTTTGAGTGCAACTACCCTATGGACAACCTTAGCGTATGTGATCTCCCGTGCTATATCTACTGAGCTTCTACACTGAAAGAAAATCGAAATATTCACGGATTAGCACTAAACAGTAAACGAGTCGGTTGCTGTACGTGTTGTAATCTCGCCACAAGCTCTATTGTTGTGCTAGCTCTGGGGTATTACATCTTATTCAAGACCACCTTCTCTACTGAGCCGTTACAGTGTGGTTCTTGATCCTTTGCCTGTCATCCTTCAGCGGGTCACACACACACAGGCCGCCGCTTCACCACTCGACTTCATCGATGGCGTGTATCTACGACTTCAATGACTCCATTAGCAACACATGTATTACCACTGAAGGAGGTGCGTGTATGGAGCTTCAGGAACACGACATATTCACAATTAAGCAAACACAATGTGCAACGCCTGTAGAAGCACCGCAGGCACGGATTCTGCGCGATGGGAGCAGGATGGCCCTTGAACTGACCAAGAAACGAACCTACTCAGTGTGTTAGTACCGCTGTCATGACCCTCGCCCAGCAAATAGTGCAGTGAGCAATGCAATCGCGCCAACTACGTGTTGCGCATTATCGAGTAGTGGCTGAATGAGCTGGTTACACAGCGTTCGTTCACTCTGCCACCACAGGTTGTCCAAGCATTGCACCATACGTACATGTACATGTACACTGCGGGTAGTAGGACTACTAAGCGGAGATATAGATATATGTACGCTACGTTGCACAGATCATGCATCTACGATAATGATGACCCCGTCAGTCACGGCTGTTGAGAAACACATTGATACCACTTCCAATGGTTCCACTCTATCGTGGCAATCACTTTCAGTAGATATACAATTTACAAGAATTCTATTGGCATACCACGTGAAAGTAGTCCGTATAGAACAAAAACTGCAGGCGTATGTTTTTTTTATGTGACATGGATTCTCATTACACTGTGAATGTTACAGAAGCCCTATTTGCTCGTGACAAGATTGGTTGCTATGCTAGTCTCTGACAAATTCGGTAAATGAAATGGTATCGTGATTTAATTGATACCTTTGAAAGAATTTACAAACGTGAACTTGATGAAATAATGAATGACTGAGTGAGTAAAAGTACGAGTCTCAGGATAACATAAATAATGGTCCAAAGTTTCGGCAAAATTTACTTGCAACTTCTACACCCCCCCCCCCCATTTACCGTGCATGCGCACAGCGAAGTGACACGCGGTATGGTAATTACAAAAAAAAATCAACGTTGCAAGTCCCTTGCAACATTAATAGGTGATGACGGAAAATCCATGCATTTCAAGTAGTTCCGTTCCTAAGGATTCAGCATTAAGATTGAGTGGCCTTTGTGCCTTGAGACGGCGACTTGCATTAAAAATATATAAAGCGGGAGGTCAGAGTTGGAAGCCCGTTAGACCTGAACCCTATAACATTATAGCAAAAAGTGTGTAGGCCCTTGGGCGTCAGACCACTGCAATGTGCAATATGATAAGCTCCTATGTTAAGGAAGACGTCATTTGACCACCTTAATAATGGAGCCTACATACAAGGCAAAACCGAGGCAATGAGGGATAGGGTGTGTAAATTATATTGACTGAAATTAACGCACATGTCATGAAATCGGACTAGCAAAAAACGCTTCTGCTGGCTTGCAATGTTTTTGATACGAACAAAACTGCGAATTGTCCGGTTTTGCATAACAGAGCTAGTCGAAAGGCCACTCTATCGATTTCAGGAGCGCTCATCAGAATCTTCTTGCCGAGGGCCTATACTGGTTTGCAACTGAGCAAATCTTCATTACAACAACAACAAAAATACAGAAATTACAACCTGTGCACTGTTAAAATAAGTTTGAAATATATCTGACATGCGGTTGTTTGACGTCATCTTGCATTAAATTTCTCTTTGACCTTTCCTGGTTTAACAAATATTGTTCACAACAAGAGTTTAATGTCGATATGCACAAACTAGTAATTGAAGGTTTTATGTATACGGAATGGCCAGTCCTGTATGCTAATGCAAAGTAATTTACGTTTGAGTACTTAAAGCCGTCTCAAAATAAGCTAATTGAATTGACATCAGCCGCATCCAAAATGGTGTATCATTGATTGTGCCAATATAATAGGCGACGTTAACTGTAGCTGGAGAATTTGGTTAGTAATTGATATGCAAATGCATGCAACTATCTCCTATGCGGGTTACATCACAGTATTAATCTCTTAGCGAGTGGGATGACATTTTAATGGAGTGGCAGTAGAGAAAGCTTCGGTTCTTGTTTCTAAATTCTCGTAAAAACAACCAATCGATGAAACAGACAAGAATATACTATAAAAACGTTTCGACGATTATGTGAAAAAAAAAAATCAGAAACGCAAAGAAAAGTAAAGAGTTCAACATTTTTGGATTGTTACAGTGCTTCCTTTTTACTGTGTCAACTGATTGAACAGTTTCACGACGACCTGGTGTTTTCAAATCGAATGCTGAAATACACGAAGAGCAGTTGGTTTGCCGATACGATGCGTACGTATACATGGAACGGACATTTCTGCTTTCCTCCAATTTCATTGAAAACTGCCGATATTTTTTTTTCTTCACCCGCATACAATTCATGAAAGCGTCAAACTCACTAGCAATAAATTGACATCGATTGCAAGGCCTGGTCATGTTGGGGAGGTTTTCACGGCAAATGACTCGTGCGACAGTGCCGGCACGTCCCCAGTGTTAATTGTGAGTGATTGAATCGATCCGAGTTGATCAAATTGACAAGATACGCGCGGCGCGGGCGCGGCATGCGGGAAGGAGGAGGGACGTGTGTGCATGTGTTTGTGTGTCTGCTGGTGCATTCCTCCACTGAATGCCAAGCTACTGGCGCTAATAAAATGCTAACGAGAAACCCAATGACAGTCTCAAGATCTACCTTCATTTCAACACGTCCGCCGTCCTTCGCCTCTAGCTCATGTCAATATTTCGCCGCAAGGGCGATCCTCACCAGGTCCTCTTACAATAAGGACCCTCACACAAATCGTAAAAGCCATCTTTGATTAAGAAAGAGATCAATTTCAAAAGACGCCATTTTATCTAATAATAGTTTAAAACTGCAAATGTGAGACCAACACACTGTCCACTCATGCTACCCGCGTAGCTGTAATATACAGTACACTGTGAGCATGGCACTTTTGCATGCAGTTTAAAGGGGACCGTACAATATAATTTCGATAATGTAATCTTTGAAAATGCACGGTGTCCCATTTAATTTAATTTTCAATCTTCATATTGCCATTTGCAAGGTTTTTGGGTCCCTTTGTGTGCTAATGAAAATTCCCATATTCATGAGCAAAACTGTGATATCATTCAAAGCAAAAATATCAGTCTTACAGCTGCAAGTTCAGCATCAATAGTTGCCAAAATTTTGAGTATTTTGGGGTTGTGGTAGATTTCCTGTTTTTGATTATTCACTGTTTCAGTGCATGAGAGTGAGTCATTCAGCAAACTTCACGCAAAAATATTTTCGGTGAGCTATTAGTTTTAGGGCTTACATTAAAATTAATACAGAAAATGTGCCTTTAATTACATGAGGAAAATCACGGATCACTTGAAATGTTTTAAAAGGTGCACTTTAGACATATTTTCGCCAAATTGGATGTTTCATAGTTTACATTCGTTTCAGACAAATAAGAACTCGCCCTTAATATGTTCCTGTGTAAAAAATAACATGGTACGTTAAATACACTGAAGGGATATTGGTATATATTTGTTAGCGGTTTTAATTGATATGCTTGCTAATATCCACAGTTCTCTTACATAAAGATTGCAGCCAGCTATATATTACATCAACATTACGCATGACCAAATTAAATACACGTCAGAGCACCCCTGGTGTTCATTGTTTCTCTCATCGCACTGGTGTTGCCTTGGAAGTACGAATTTCATTAGGAAAGAGTGGATGGGCATTTCTGAATGAGTATACGTTTTATGTGACAGCAGTTTAAAGGCCGCATTATTTCAGCTTTAACTTCCGAAATGGTATGAGCAATATTGGAGCAGCATAGTAGTCTATGGGTTTCTATGCTTGATATCCCAATTCTGCATCAAATAACGAAGTGATGTGAATGGCGTCTTTATGTCGCAGAGCGCTACTATCACCATTAGACAACGCGCCAGTGCGCTCGCGTATTTTACGCTCACTTGGACAAAACGAGCTATACCTTTATGAGCCAGCTATACCTTGAACGGTAAAATTATGGTAAAATGGTGTGCGCGGAAAATGACTAGGGAAAGATAGCGATTATTATCGAGGGACCTGCAATTAAAGTATACCAATCTTAGGAAGAAAATAATGGCGCACCGACGAGTTTTACTGAATCGGCTGAATGAACGATATATCTGAACATCAGTAGATAATGCATTGATCATCGGCAACACCTTTGGTATGCATCGTCAGCTCCTTGTGAAAACATACATATAAGTATATAATGTTTGTGTCAAGATTAGTGGCTACACGATCATACAGAATGATATACAGTTACACAATGCAGCTATATGTATGGAATCTGAGACTGTGTTCCCTAAACTACATCTCATCAGTGTTTGAACTGATCCGCTACAAGATACAATGTGAAGGACTTGTCTCTAGGGACATTGTAGCAAAGAACCAGACTAGAAATAAGAATGTATTCGATGATGAATTTTAATGATGGATCTTGACAAAGTGAAAAGATTCAAGAATTCCACGCTCTGACATTCGAAGAGTGAAAATTCATTGATGGAGTGAAGGTTCACTCCAATGGATTGAAACTATAATACGAACCAGACGTTTGAGAGTGAAATTCATTCAATCGAATAGATTGAATTTTCACTCGAGTTTCGACTGTGACCTACGAGAACAGCGAAAGCAATGAAGAGATATAACCAAAATTCGAGAATCTTTCACACACCTCCATTAAAAGATTAACAAATGGATCATTATGACGTGGGCAGACCTTTATGTCAAATAATGAGTGATCAAGCTACTTAACAGTGCGGAAAGGCAGTATGTACTTTTAATAAGATGCTGAGCTGGCACAGAAAATAAATATCCATCACTTGGGGACAGGTTGATCCTCTCCTGTCATATTTGAAATATTTTCCCATATTTCTGCTATGACCTCGTACACTTTTTAAGGGTCTCCTTGAAACCACTCTAGGGATACTCCGGCAATAATTCGTACTGTAACGGCTTGGTTATGATGAGTGGATAACCATCAGATGGAAAATAAATGCACATGAAATCGGTAGGCAGTGCATTTCAATGGTTTCTGGGTCCATTAAGCTAGACCGGAGAGACTCCAATCAGATCAACGGCGTCATTAACGGACGGGACACTCAAGGGTCCTGAAACTAACTAGGCCATCAATAAGACCATTCCACTTCAATAATTATTGGACATTGTCTTGTTTCCCATTAACTACAAATCGGATATTAAATTCTGCTGATTGCGAAATAGAGGGTATATTTAAACATGAACCAGTGTACAAATCCGACACATTTCAAATACATCGCACTCAGGGTTGTTTTCAAGCTGGGTAATTTTACCTGTCAATTTTAATTCCGTGAACAATTTGTCAATTTGTGGGGGTTTGTGCTGACTGCGTGGCGGGCCACGGGGAGATTACTAATAATGTTCAACGGATGTCATCTTGCCAAGAGGCCGTTCAGTGACATTACCGCTGCAAATGCCGCAAAACACCCCAGCAGATGAAGGCATTTCAAGTGTGTTCAGACTGAAGTTTTTTTTTTTAAAAATCATTTATAGCTGCAAGGG